TTGCTCCGATCTATAGGGTGGTGCTCGAATTTCACATTATGAATTTGTCGCGGCTTGGTATTCTGCATACAACTATCAACAAACGTACAAAGAGTGTTTTCGTCCACCGTACGATAGTCGACATTCGGCGGGGCGCCCTCGTTCCGTGCGTATTAGAAATAGTATGGATGACGGACGTGAAGGAGCTAGGAGGAGAAATAAGTGCAGTAGATGTGATCAACCGGGTCACAACAAAAATAGGTGTCCAGTTAGTATTAGGCGTTGATTTGTATTATGTAGCGTTTTGCACTATGTTAGATCTTGTATGACATTCGTATGATACTCGTATTCATATTTGTAATATGTTCTGTACGACTTGCATATTCGTATTTGTAATATGTTCCCGATCAGGCTGTGTTCATTTCATTCATGCATTTGTATTATGTAGTGTCTCATATTTCTGTATATATGCTCATATTTTAATCACAGGTCTTTTCATTATGGATCCGGGACCGATAAATCCCGACGTTTTGTACCTTCAGGTGAGTAATTGTTCAGACCATATTGGTCCGGGACAGGTAATACAATTAAATTTTATATATATTTCTTCAATTTATTAAATTTTTGGTATGCATATACTTAAACATTTTTTGTTTTATGTGCAGCCCGTACCAGACATCACGATGGTCGAGCATTCCCAGAGTCATTCGGCTTGGGTCATTGAGGATGAGAGGGTACTAGAGCTGATCGCTCAGGCCGGATTTCGGGAGTGTTCGACGATTTGATATATTAGGCTTGATTGGCCGCTCATCACTGCGCTTATTGAGAGGTGGAGGCCAGAGACCAACACCTTTCACATGCATATAGGGGAGTGCACCATCACCTTACAGGACGTGGCCGTCATACTTGGACTCCGGATCGATGGACCGGCAGTTAAGGGCACCGATGATCATAGTTGGCCGGAGGTATGTGCCCGGCTTCTTGGACAGGTTCCCGACTTGAGGAGTGGTGCGATGAAGCTATCGTGGCTTCGTCAGACATTTCAGAGCGATATACCAGAGGATGCCCCTATTGAGACGCTCCAGTTTCATGCTCGTGCGTACATATTGCACATGATAGGGTGCGTACTATTTCCTGATGCGAGCAAGACACTCATACATGCACGATGGCTACCACTCCTGGAGGATTTTGGTGTATGCGGTGCACTATCGTGGGGCAGTGCGGTGTTGGCATACTTGTATCGAGAATTGGGTAGGGTATCCCTGATGCAGAATAAAGAATTCAAGAGATGTTGTACGTTGATACAGATTTGGTCATGGGAGCGCATTCATATTGGACGACCCACTTTACTTATGCACCGTGACCTGGAGGGCCAGTATCCTTTGGCATACAGGTATAATTGTACACACATATTTCATTCGTAATGAATTTGTACTTATATATTCGCTATTCTGCATATAGGTATAACGTGTGATATGCTCAGTACAGATCAGCGACGCGTCACCGTCAGTTTTACCGAAATGAGCTTGATGTCCTCTAACACTAACATGTAAATATAAAACTCAAGAAGTATGAATATTATAGTTTTTCTGTATGATACTGATAAATGTTTTATTTTATTTCAGTTCAAGTGGAGACCCTATACACCGCCGGAGCTCGATATGCATTCTCTTGCACCTATCTGCCGAGATAGTCCCGACTTGTGGAGAGCCAGAGTTCCATTGATCTGTTGGGAGATCGTGGAAATGCATGTCCCGGATCGTGTGCTACGGCAGTTTACGCTCTCTCAGCATATTCCAGATCCTGTCGAGCAGATCGATCGTCGGCGGCGCCCTACATCGCACCGTAGTCCGTGCGGCCTATATAGACAGGTGGGTTCACAGGTGGGATTTCATACAGGATACGAGGCCCACAGCTGTTGACTATACCGTGTATATGCGTTGTTATTGGGGTATCACACGTAGATGGATCACGCGTGACCCACAGCCGTCAGCTGGACACATGCCACGCCCACCAACAGATAGTTACATCCCTAGTGGGATGAACGAGAGAGATTACGTAAGTTTCTAAGCTAAATTATAACATTTTTTATTGAGTTGGTACTTAATAAATTGTTTACCTCGCAGGTCTGTGTTTTAGATAGCATTGATGCTAATATTGATGCACACGTGACTGAGATTCAGGATCAGGTGGCGTTAGGGCTCATCAGCAGGATCAAGAAGAGCATAGCGCAGGTGTTTCATAAGACTCACGTCGACGAGTTCGCAGGCCGTGAGGACAGGTCTCGCTCATTTGGACAGGCGTACACTCGACGTCGACGGCCACGTGATGATGACGCCGGCACTTGACATGCTGATGGAGCCGGCACTTCGAGGCTCATCAGCAGGAACCCAGGGGGCGGGGAAGAGCGAGGGGGAGGGGGAAGAGAGGGAGAGGAAGGAGAGGAGCTATATTGGGTTGTATTTGAACTTATTTTGTTAAAATTTGTAACTTTCCTGAATTTCAAATACTAAACTTTTGAAGATCAATCATTGTTCATATATATAATCGTGCATGTTTAATTCATGGTTGAATCATGTATCTATTGTTGTGATTGTTGTTTGCAAATAAATTGGTGTATATATGAGTTAATATATATGAGTTAACAGGTACGTATACAAAACATGCACAGCAGGCTGTGCATGTTTAGTATAACCTGCAACTTCACGGGAGTTCAACTCTCGTGAAGTTGCAGTCTCAACTTCCCAGAGAGCAGCTCTGGCGATATTGTTCCGTCTGGGCATAAATCTTCACGGGAGATGAACTCCCGTGAAGTTTTATGAATAAATTAAACTTCACGGGAGTTCAACTCCCATGAAGTTTAAAAATACATTAAACTTCACGGGAGTTGAACTCCCGTGAAGTTTCGGAAAAATTTTAACAAAAACTGACCTGTTTTCAGCACTGGGCTGAAAACAGGTCAGTTTTTGTAAATTTTTCCAAAATAGGTCGTTTTTTGAGAATAAAAACCCAAAATCGTCTGTTTTGAAAATTTGTCCTATCTAGGAGTGCATCCTTTGCTTTAGCATTCCACAGGACTATAGGGTGGAAGTGGGCTAGCAACGTTGTAGGAGCTGAAGCAAAGCTTGGGCATCGTCGCATCTCTCTCTCTCTCTCTCTGTGTAAAAAAAAAGAAGAAAGAGGAAAAGAAACTCAATTAAAAACGAGGTTTATTTTGTTGTCTCTCATTGTCAGTTGAAATACATTGTTGAAGACACGGATAATTTCAATTTCTCCATTTGGTCTTTAATCTTTACCAGGGTTATTTGTATTGTTGAAAGAGGTTAATGGGTGTCCTATGTCAAGGAGGGGATTTCCTCCTTGAAAATAATGTGGCACAATCATCACCATGTGAATAAAGTAGGAGAGAGAATATCACATGGTGGCGTATTCTAACCATGTCAAGGAGGAAATCCCCTCATATGACAAAGAGGAAATAACTCAGCAGATCAAATCTTAAGGTGCCGTATTCTAACCACAATCTTCAAATATCCATCTTTGTCCACGTCGACAATCCCAGCGAGAGAAGCAGTCTAAAGCCGGCATGCTAACAATCGAAGTGTAAATTGCCGGACTTTATATGTTAACAAATGCCTTCGTATAAATGTGCATGTATTTCTTTATGATTGAGATCCCGCTAGCCGCCCAACAAACCTAAATACGCCCCCCTTCACACGTATAAATATACATAGTGAACCATGTTCTCATGCACCAACCCATCAATCAAAAAATGGCTACTCACTCTTCAGCCACATTCTCCTCCCTCCTCCTCATCTCCACTCTCATCATCTCGGCCAACGCAGCCAACCACTCAGCAGAATTCCTCACATACACAGGCTTCGAGCATCTCGCCAACTTCAACCTCAGCGGTTCGACGGTCATAATGGAACTAACCAAAAAGGAGTTCCCGGCACTAGCTGAACAGGCCGTATCAATGGCAGTCGTCAG